TATTTGTCCCTTGTCGAATACTGCAATCTTGTCAGCGTTTCGGACGGTAGAGAGGCGATGAGCTATAACTATCGTAGTTCTGCCCGCAGACGCATTGTCTAACGCTTGCTAAACCAAGAAGTTATGGTAATTACAGCACGACGCTTTACTGAGTGGCTTAGAAGTTTACCTGAACGACGCTCTCACTGTTAGCGTCTAGTGCAGATGTGGCCTCATCTAGGAGAAGAATCCGTGGATTTCGCGCTAAAGTGCGAGCAATCGCAATACGTTGCTTCTGGCCGCCTGATAACTGTACAGCACCTTCTCCAATAAGAGTAGAGTAGCCCTTGAACAATTTTCGTGGAGGATCTGTGAATGCTAATGTCCACCATCACATACGAATTGGGCGGGGGTAGCATCATTGGGACTGGAACCTGACTAGATTCAAAAAATTTACCTTAGGAAGCTTCATTATGAAATCGTGAGCATTCGCTAGTTTGCACACCTGTACCATTTCCGCTTGAGAAATTTCCGGGCTGCCGACTTGGATATTTTCCTGAAGTACTATTTTCATTTCTGAAAAAAAAATTTTGGAAAACCTTGAAGTCATTCTTTTCCTTCTCTATGCAGCTACTTTCGAGAGAGCTTCGAAGCGAAAGAATTTATCTCAGCGCGTCCAGTCAAAAGCTCCATATTTTACGTTCATGATCCATGCAAACGAATGCAAATGAGGGGGTCTGTGATGCAGCGCGTGCTGCGGCGCCGTCAGGGGGTCTTATTCCAACAATAATACCATCCTGAGCCCGCCACACTTGGTGGAAAGTCTGGCAGCGAGCCAAGCCATCCGTTCCAGGCCCTATCAAGCGAGAGATTATGAATGCAAACGTAGCAGCAGCTAGTCACAACCTTGCTCAGCCTGAGACTAGCTATTTCAGTAAACTTAGGGTGCGACATTTCAGTTTCAATAATGACCATTACTAAATGCCCTAAATGCCACTTTATTTCATAAATTTCAACGTCTCACCTCGATAGTGCCATTGAATAAGGTTGGTTCCTGTTGGACTATTCCTACCGTATTACGGAGCCATTCCATATTCACATTTCTCACGTCGTTATCATCAATCCTGACCTAAAATCGTGGGATGCCCTCTCAAAACTACAGGAGATCTAAAGCCTGTTACGGTATTCATGACACTCATCAGTGCCCGCATTCTGCCTTTCATATTAGTCCTTGTGATTAAGTCCGACCTCGCTTGCTCGGATTTTCCGCATCCCTGTGGCCAAACAAAAGCAACAGTACTGACCCGCTAGGACTTTAAGGTTGCCCGTCTGAGCACCCGAATGGATAAAGTATTAGAAAGGTGAAGCTATTCGCCCGCAAGCCAACTCCTCGATTGGGACGCGCCACGATCCTCTTCGATTCAGAATTACTTGATACGCGTCCGCGAGTAAGGAGCGAGGTAGATACGTGGAGTGTTGAAGTTTGAAAAAAAGGTTTCCAAGTGGCTCGACTGTGAGAAGGGATTCCAAAGGGGACGTCGGAAACTTCTTTGATAGGACCCGCCTAGCATCAAACAGTTGTACGGGTAAAAGGTCAAAAGACCACGTGTTGGGGCGAGTTCTCATGGGCTATTCCTTGGAAGAACCCTGATTGACTCAACAAGAAACAAATGGAAGCTACTTGTACTGGGCCATCGCCTTTTGGCTGCTGGATGCGCGAAGCTTCAGGCGGAGTCTGGAGGCGGAGTTACCGGGAAAAGGAGGCGTCACTGGAGTAACTTTGGCAACGTCTTTGCCTTACAACTTTCTACTGTGAAAATGGCCCAAGGTCTTCCGTCGCTCAGCACACTATCCTTCCCACACAAGCTTTTGCATTTGCGTGGGTCATCGCGGACCCCTCCGCGGTTTGCGATCACCCCTCCCTCCCCCGCCGGAGTAATGAAAGGCTTTTCTGGGCTGGACGGGGGGGGATGCGAGACTTGATCCCCAGGCTGTGATGGGGCAGACAGCGTCACAGCTAACAAATTGTTGACGCATGCCAAAGCTCCCAAAGAGAAGAGAAAAACCCCAAAGCCTGATCGTCATTAGAGAACCTCAAAATCTGTCCTCTTGGGTACATTCTTCTGAGAACGGCTCAGAACAAAAACAAATAATGTACTGTGATTTGTGCAGAACGAAACTAACCTTAACATCCTTCCTTGTAGGGTATCGGAAATGTACATTACTGAACTCGATATCTCCTCGTATGCGCATGGGAATTTTACCCTCCGATGAGTACACATCGATATCAGGTTCCTGAAAAAAAATAATTGCAGTACATTACAGTAGACCATTCAACACACTTACACTCCATACTCCTAAGATGAAAAACTGGCATCGATGTGTCTCGTTGGCTCTGCCTGTAGCTGACAAAGCCGCAATCAGTGCGACGGCGGCAGGTGGGCGGAATGAGCCCGCCTCCCACTGCCTTGCTTTACCAATAGTGATCAGTTGGTGATCAATTTTGGAATAAAATAACCAAAAACAATGGGTGCAAACGCAAAGGGTGAGCTCATTCCGTCCCTTTCACCGCTCCAGTTTATTGCGACATCAAACGCTCAGACAACATCGAATAAGGTTGTGAAATCGAAGCTGCAAAGTAGAACCTACCCTATCAATGGTGTAGTAGATAGCAGCGGCAGCCACCCGTGAGTTCAGAATAACCGCGAGATGAGGTGAGATCAAGCCCAAGAAATACGCTCCTATTATCATGGATACAACGACAGTAATCACATCACCGGAGCTGGCAATCGCTCCAACTTCAAGTAGATGGCCACCAAATCTGAACAGCATCTTTTAGAATGATTTATATGTATTACAACAGGTGTCCGGCGGTTTACTTACAGAAAACTGGCTCCAATGAATGTGAACAGAACCACATAGAAAATTCCACCCCAAAAACCACTCCAGAAGCATTTCGCAGTCGCATGACTTTTACCTTTGAGGAGCTCTTCTGTATACCTGTAGTACATTTGTTATGGTATGCACGACTATGATACTGTGTATCCCTAGGTGAAACGGGTCGTAATTGCGGACTCGTGAAGGGGTTCTTGAAAATTTTTGCTTCTCTCAAATAACAATCAACTTCTTCAGGCTTCATACTGATTAGCTAAGTGTCATTAGGCTTCAGATGCAGACGACGAATATTATTGCTGGCAGAAACTGCTATTTTTTTCTACTCCACCACCACGCGCGTCACGTACAGTCCTCATCATTGCGGACCGGTGGGGCGTGTCAGTGCGGCTGCGTTTGGCGCGGTGCCAAAGTCGTTCTGCACCAGTTGTTGAAGCGGGCAAGTGACATTACTGTATTATATCCTTCGTATTACTCGTTTTCTACCACTTTTTGTCGCATACGCGTTTCAACAAAAAGGCTGAGAACGGCTTCAACAGTGTGCACACTCATACTGGCTGACACGCCCCACCGGTCCGCAATGATGAGGACTGTACGCAATCACGATCCATCTCTCTTCGGATACTGAGTATAGTGAGGATTGAACTGTTCGCACCTTCCCACCATTTCCTCTTGACCATTGAAAGCTTGCACTGTCCGTACTCCGAGAACCGCTTCTTCAGCGATAGCCCCAGCTTTGCCAACGTCGTCCAGTTCTTTCCTAGTTGACTCAGCAATTTTCTTAAAAACTCATTTTAGTCGAAGAGTTTTCTTCATAGGTAAAGCTCTGATGCGAGATCCATGATTCACTGCCCTCAGATCTCATTTTCACATGAGTTTTTTCTTTTCGTGTAAAAACTAATTTGTTGTCATCCAAGCGCTGCGACACAAGCGCGCTGCTGATGTGTACCCTATAAGTCCACTTTGAGAATCCTGGCCCTTGGCATACGTTCTGGATATAGAGAGTGGAATCCACCCTCCAGCCTCCTTCCAGCGCACTTTGGAGTGATGAAAGTGTCACACTTTCAGGTTGCGGGCCTACCCACATCGCATATGGCGATGTCCACTTTTCATGTAAACATACAGTTATAGCTGGGTAATATTCTCATATTCAGATACTCTCCTAGCGCACTACGCGGTGTTTTCTCATTACAGTCGTTTACGCAGCGGATAAAGGGGCGTGTCAGCGGGGTTGGGTTTGGCCGGCACCAGCTCGTTTTACATCGGTAGTTGAAGCGGATAAGCCATAACAATTGATGGAAAACGATTGATACGACCGAATGATAGCGTCGATTGCTCCAACAATTGGTGAAGAACGGATTTGGCGTCGCGCTAAACTCACTCGCCTGACACGCCCCTTCATCCGTAGCAAACAAGAAAACAAGTCTGTGAATAAACTTCGCAAAAAGTGGAATTGTGCGACATAAGGGTGGGCCGATTCGCTCCTCCTTCAACAGGGCACACAATCGCTGGACAATTTCCAGCGAAGGCCGGGTGTGACTGACTGGCGCTCAACAGACTGTTTACAAGTGTTCAACTTGTAAACGGTTTGCTGAGCCCTAGTACAGAGCACAGTACAGCATCAGTGCAGTCCAATTATCCTTTGATCTCACCCTTGAGCATAACCTGCATGAAAATCTAAACTCACCCGCGACATAATGCTCATACACAGGCAAGTCAGTGGTGCTAGTGGACACATGAAAAGCGCCAATCTCCACTCTCGGACAAACGAGATAATCAGTGCCGCAAAGAACATTGCAAATCCGCGGATAAGAAGTCCCATTTTATCTCCAACGCCTTCACGAATTCGCTCCACATTACTGAAATACAGTACATATGTCTTTTTAGTGAAATCACTGTGTGGTTTGTTTCAGCTGAGTTTTTTTCAAACCCTTCAGAAGAGTTGCACAGATTGTGCCGATAAATCGGATTATTCAAATGAAAATGATCAGTGGTGCCTGTTATGACAAAAAGCGGTTAAGATAGATCACGTGAATTTGAACGAAGGTCTAGACTATACCTACTCGTTAAGTTGTGTTGTGAGAGTTCCGCTGTGGTGCTTATCCAGCCACCCGGCATTTTGGCGAAGAACAGCTCTTATGTAATGATGGCGAATTTTCGCGATTTGTCGACAGCACGCGGTGTAGAAGCATACAAACTGGAAGTTGACCGATTAACCGCAGAAAAACAAGGAAAATTCCAAAAAATTTGACTTTTAGGTTTTGAAGGCGTTAGAAAATGTCTCGGAACGTGGCACGGGCAAAGTAGATCATCAAAGGCCCCTGAGAAAGGGAATGGCAAACTACTTGTGCGCAACTTCTACGGGAGCTTACACTTACACTCCAGCCACTACAGCCGTTCTCAGGTTCTGTGAGGTAAATGTAAACGAGACTGCGAGTTCTGCTCATTTCCTTGGCGCAGTTTCCCTTTTAGGAGTGGAGGATGAGGGTGTGGCATCGCGAAGAGCGATTTTACATACGGGTGGAAGAATGCTCACAGTCTTGTTTGCTGCGGATGTTTGGGGTTTCGGGGGGGGGGGGATGGGTTCGGCCCGCGCCAACCTCTTCTCCACCAATTGTTGAGCGGGTAAATGCCAGTAACTGGTGGAAATCGAGCTTGCGCTTCCCAGTCCCCTTTGACGCGCTCCGACCTCCACAGTTAAGACGACTGTATTTTCCGTAATAAAACAAATTTAAAAGGCCAGTGGCTCACCTGTATAAAGTTCACAATCAGAGCGAACACCCCTATACCAAGAAACATATAGACGTAACCAAACAGTTCCGCCTCGACAGCAGCGGTGTCCGTTAGATTTCCGCTTGTTAAAACTCGAAACAACTCTCCAGCAATTACGGCAATGACGGGCTAAACATCCATCAACATTAGAGTGACTTTGGAATAGGGCAGTAAAGATTGAAAGTTAAAGGAATACCTGACAGCATCCACTGATGACAGCACCAAGCGAACCTACACAGAGCAAAAAGACGTCGAATTTAGTTGCGTATCGGAACTGAAATGAGAAAAACACCACTATGAAATAACTAACCAAGTTTGTTTCAGGGCTCACAAATTGGTGGACTGAGCTTCAAAACTTTATGACACCTGGTTGACACGAATACACCTGGCCACCTTGCCCACTGTACATCATGGATGGTGAATGCACATCATGGACCGAGGCACATTACTGCATTGTTCAAAATGCTAAATACACCCCGCTCAATTTCATTTTTTTTCTCTGCGGTTGCCTTTCCCAATCTGCCTACCCTCTTACACTTCTGATTTTTAACAAGTTTTAAGTTCTGCCTCTGCGAGGGGAGGGAGCGAGAGTAGGCAGTTCCATTAAACCATCAGCAATAGTTTCTTCGCCGTTGGAGAGCCAGCAATCGGAAATTGCATATTTGATCTCAAACAGACCTAGCTCCCTAACCAGCGGTCAAATGCGACCCCTGTCGCGTTTACCAAAGATGAAGTGTCCTGTTAGGATAGTGAGGAGAAAGTCGTCTTTCCCGTTTTACGCTACGGCTGTTTTCCTCTGGCTCCTCTCCCTCACCCAGGTCGGGTCACATCGGGACCTTGTTCTTCAGAGGGGAACGTCTTGAAGAGCCCCGGTCTTATGACATTCCCCTCCTGAACGTAGGGCGAGCGCAAAACGTTGGAATCCTACGTCTGCGCTAAACTTATGTAGTAATCGTATTCAAGAAGCTAGGATTCTCCAACCAAAATTTTTAGCGTTGTGATGATTTCGTGGCCTAAAGTGTTTCTATGCCGGCGTCAACAGATAAAAAGGGCGCAAGGCGTTCCTGCACCGAACCCTTAAAATTTTCTTGCTCAGGGGCACGACTACCACTGGGGATGAATTGTTAGTCAAATCAGCTTTCTGAACCGTCTGAGAAGTAGAGCGGCTGCAGAGTAACTAGTGGTGGAAGATTTTCATTACTGCTGTTGTGCGAGAAAAAAAAACCAGATGTGCTGTTATTCCAAATAGCTTGGTAAAGGGCAAGTGATTCGATCAATTTTGTTATACTGCTAATGCGATTAACTGCTTACCAGTTTAGAGAACGGCACTGGTTTCCTCTTCAAAGTCTGGGTAGCGAGATCACCTCTGAAACTCTTAATGTGTAGGAATTCCCAGCAACTTAGGTTGTACAAAAAAATAATCGCATAGGTAATTTTATGGATGACCGCTACTTTGACATACCTGCATAAGAGGTAGTTAATGAATTTATCTAATCTTGATTTTTCTACCGGCGCTTCGTCGTCATCGTCGTTGCTCGGTACCTGGAAACGATCGAGCGTTCACTAGTGCAACACAACAAACTCGGCTCATGAATAACACCCTACTGTTTTGATCGGCCAAGAACTCTTGTATTTCGAACGAGAGCTTATTTTTGAAAAGGCTTTGGGAATGAATGGCGGCTTAGGAACTCACCTCTACGACGGCCTTGCGTACGATTTTAACGTCAGCGCCATTCTTGACAGGGGTTTCTGTTTCGACTTCAGTTATGTCTGCCGTTTTGTCATCAACGTCTTTGATATTAAGAGGAGTCCCATTTCTGGTCATCTCTGAATATTTCGGAAGATGAAATTCGCACGGAATTTCTGCTCATTGCATATTTGAAGCCGCATTACGGAAGCGCAGTGCGAGAATTTTGCGAATTCCGACAAGGTTGTAGTTCTAACTGAAGAAACATTCCATGATATAAGTATTAGGTTGTTCGAAAAGTCCTGCGACACTTTGACCAAATTTTTCGAACTAAATTTCTGGTCAGTAAAGGACATCTCCAATCTACAAGGTAACCGCAGTTGATGACTAGGACTAGTGCCTTTCTTTTGCACAGCTTCTCATTTCCATTCTCATAGAACTACGGCAACTGTGGTAAAAAGAAGAGGTGGACCTCATTCTCGAGTTGAGGTTGATTTTCGGAACTTTTGCTTTTTGAAGGATGCGATAGGGACCAAAGGAGGTGGTAATTAGAGGCTGCTAACTTTGTTAAATAACCTGAGTACGGTCGCATTCTCTGATCGAAATGCATGATCTTTTGGCGTAGCCTGATCCCCACAGCGGTCCTCGCATTACCGAGTAGTAGAGAAAAATTGAGTATTTCTGAATGAATTCAAGCGTGACGTCATCCATATTTTGAAGTCGATTAAGGTGGACTGTGGTCCTTACAACGGTGCTGGTATCCAGTGATACCGCTTTGAAGTCCCACCAATAACACACTGAAATCTTTATCCCATGCACATCTTCTTTTGGCTAAGCAATCTACTTTTCTGTTTGAGAGATCCTGCGAGGGACATGTGCATGATGTACGCAAGGACTCCAACACTCGCTACCAACCACAAGATCTCACAAAAGTTCTTTCGCTGTGTACAAGGAAAAGAAAACTCAGTCACGGTCATTCGGTATGACTTGTCAGACGGGTCCAACTCATGAGGCATCCTTCACAAAAAATTTTTCCGATAACCGAGATTGCGGAGAAGCATGGCAGTTGTCAGTTAGGTGGAGCCTAGAGAGGTTGCCAACTTACTGGTGGTTACGTTCGGCTGCGCCTCAAGAAGCTTGAGTAAAGGGCCGTCATTCTGTGCTGGCGACCTATACATTGCCTAACTACGAGTTAAATAAGTCCAGCCTGGAAGCGCTGATGCAAAAGCTACCCTCTGCCATGGCAAGCGATATCCTTCCTCAAGACAACGTAGGTGTCAGCTTCCTTGACTACGGCGGAGTGGCCCTACAGGAACTCATAATATGGGACAGGTCGAAAAGTACCTCGATCTCTGGGGGACTTTTAAGCTTTGAAAACTTCCTCAAAGTCATGATATACCCATGTGCAGAAACCCCAGAGGACAGTCTCCACTAATCAGGGATAAAAACATCCAAAATGATTTTTGGTCTTTTTCTAGAACAATTCAATCAAAGTGTCGCAGGACTTTTCGAACAACCCCGTATATGGGCAATAGGGTTCAAAGAGAGACTGTACTCTGACCTCTGTGGACACTGGTCTCTGACAAGTGTGTACTTATAGACCTTTTCACCTGGCAAAGCTCCCTCCCCCCCCCCCCCCTTGGAAGATGCTGTACAATTTGGTTTTGAGTGAGGACCTGCTGGTGCTAACCGGCTCGTCTGTGACGAAGAAAAGAAAGGAAGTGATAGAAAACGCTAATTTTTACAGTTCCTATTTATCTAAAACCCTTTTTGAAAGTCTAAAATTTCGTGCTTCTGCTCCGAGGGAGAATCTCTAATTTGAAAGTGTAGCTTGAAAAAGCCCTGAGCCCGCGGAGGAGAGACCAGACAGTAAAGGGCGAGAGTGTACGCGATGAACAAGCCTGCTACTTTTCATTTGAGTGCCTTCAGTCATAACGGTACGTGAAGAATCCAACCGAAGGTTCATGGTGTCCTTACTTTCGAGTCACGCTGGAGACAGTCTCTATTGTCTAGACCTGCCTATCTCACATTTTACAACACAGTCAGACTTGAGTAAGCCTGTCCCCGCCCTTAATGAGAAAAATGAGTTTTCATCCCAATTTAAGAGAAAGATTTCTCAAATGAACAGCAAGAAAGTTAGCTAATAGCGAAGCCTATGTGTAGTGTTGGTGCTGTTATTGGAGCACATATCTATTACTAACACAGTACACTATATTTATAGCCGTAATAGAAAAAATGAGTCATATCGAGCAATCTCGCAGCGATGCGCCGCACTTTACTCTCAATTACCGAAGTGGAGTGTGAGTGTCCTGTCTTGTTACCCGCTGTGAACTGTACTTCTAAACACTATCTCCGCGCCTTCATGAAGTGGACCCTTGAGGGGGGGGGGTCAATAAATCGTCGAGGTCGGGAAATCGAATCTTATATTGTACTGACCCAGACTAAGGAATTACACTCCATATCCGGGAGCTAGGAATGGTGTGACTGTACCTCACTTGAGCGCGGCCGCCTGTCCGCTTCTCATAGCATTGTCCGACGCAATACAGGATGGCAGTTGTGTCGTGCCTCAGAAGCGCATTCTACGCCCCGTTCCAATGGGGTAGGCAACGCCTCTTGCTGCCCCGGGAGATGAAGCGTAGGCATACGTAAATCATACAATACAGTTTCCGGTACTATGTATCTACTTCTTACTCGGCCACACTTCAGAAATCAAGCCACATTTCGATCGAAGTTTTCCCCTGATGGTAGGACTAGCCAGAGTTTTGCCCCGGTGTTTTTTGATCCTTAGAGCATGGAAGTCACATACGCTTGGGGCAAAAGTTCGAGTTCAGCTCTAGCAGCATTGTCACCAAAACTTGCTTGTTGAGACAAAGCCAGGTTTTTTCGTTTTAAACGTGTATAATAAATGTATCCAGGAGTCTAACAAGTGACTGAGCAGACTTATATTCAAGGCCGCCTTGGCAAGACTGTCATCAGTGGCCGGAATCTAGAAGAGTGTTGCAGTAAGAGTTGAATGGTGCCAGTGGATTACGACTCCGGCCTGCAGAGCGATCTTTTGGAGATAACAGTTTGCTGGTTTGCCCTCTCATCCCAATGTTTGTAGAAGGGCAGCAACATGAGTTGAACAGGATCTTTCACTGGGAGAATTATTCGCTGGTGTGGAGCCAGCAAGGTGAGAAATGTGCGCCGCAACTCTTTCATTCGAAACAAATAGGGTTTGAAACAAATAGGGTTTTATCTGGGGCATTTTCGAAGATTTCTTTTGCTTTTTTGTCGACTGTCAAATCCACCCTTTCGACCCTACATTTCGCAATGTCCAATATTTCCTAGAAGGGTGTTCCACGGGACAATTGTGTGTCTGTGTTGCTACCATTAATTTAAGAAATCAGAATGACCTGGTACAAAAATTAAAAAATGAAATTATGAAAGTAAAAATCACAGCGAAGACACTTCACTTACACTTAGCACTTACAAGGTATTGAGAAGATTTTTTGGAGATAGAACAAAGCCATTCCAAAAAAGGGAAGTAGTAGGAAAGCCTTCCAGAATTGTGAATTAAGCTATCTAATTTTCGGAACTTGAATTTCACATGAACAGGCAAAGCGCCGGAAAATGATGTGGTACTATGCTTTGAAATATAATACCGCTTTTATGCGCCTCTCGAACTTATATAGACGATCGGCATATGTAATGAGACCGACAGACGCTTTGGTTCTGGCCGGAAAATGCGAATCATTCGCATCATATTATGACTTATTGCATAACTCATAGAAACATAAAAAACTGGATAACCTAAGTACAAAACGAACGTGTTTTATGATGAAAGCAATGATGAAATACCTTGCATACGGGTATCTTAGAGGCCAGTTATCTCATGGGCGGAGAAGAGGGCGTGGTCAGGTGACGATTGCGTTTTCCTCATTGGTGCGGCCCTTCTTCTAAGGCTGTGGAAGGAAGAGGTGTGTCAGTGAAGAAGGCGCGACTGTTTTTCTCTATTATCTCCATTTCTTGCCCATCCCTGTAACCAGCCTTCGTCATTGGTCGGCGAATGAGATGTGATGTACGTAATGCCCAGCCAAACTGCACCATTCTTACGACGAAGTGTTACTGTGAGTCAATGGGCTCCGCTTGAATCGTTTCTGTGTTACCACATAACCCTCTACATCCCTAAGACGCGGTAGGCGTGGCTGCATACTTCCGTTAAACATGACGTACGATTGCTTTCTCGTGGGATATTGCAATTTCGGTCAATCGACATATTGTCTTGTGTTAAGCAAAGGCATGTTTGCGACTGTTTTGAAAAGAACATATTCCACACAAAGTGCAGCCCCCGCCACGCTTACAGGAAGTACGTAGACACGCCTACCGCCTCACAGTGATCTGGAGTATATGTCAGTGCATTTGTTCCGTTGATTCCGCCGCAAACAATCGGGGTGCCCTGAAGAGGTATGGAACGAACCCACTCAGAGCGACGCGGCTGGAAGTAGGCTCAACCTGCCCCTACTGACACCTGCCCTTATGGGCTGTGATGTTATCAACAATGTCTAGATCTTGGGCTGATAACATGCTTGAAAGGTCCTTTCGGATAGCAATTTATGCAGGAGGCAATGCATTCTGTTCGCAGCACTTTATCTGTGTCTGATTTTCCCCCTTTGACCATCACTGGAAAGGATCGAAGCTTGGCACTTCATTCCCCCTTTGGGATGCGCTATGGACTGAAGTCCTATTGCACAGTATCGTCAAAGTGAACTGAACGCCATTTTTCTAAAATTCCTTGTGAATGAAATGACCAAACTAAAATGCATGTGGACTCTAAGGAAAAAGAGAGCTCTCACAATCACGCCCACTACACCATCCACTTCGGAACCGTTCACGCCGAAATTTTTGTCAGAGTGGTTCTTTGATGAAACAATGGATTCCATAGAAGTTCTCAAGTCCATGGCGCAGAAAGTGTCAGTTCCTTCATGCAATGTATAGCTGAAATCGTCGCAATGAGTCCGCTGGGTGTCAAAAGGTGCGGAATCAGCCCACCCCTTCGCGTTTTCTACCAATAGTGACTGCACCAGAAAGACATTGACCAGTGACAGATAACAAAGCCGGTCTGCTCATTCCAGCCTCCTGTCACCGCCCCAACTGAT